GTGGATAGTGGATATTTCAGGATTTAGATAGTATATAATTCAGGATTGAATTATTTAGAACTGGGATAGTGGTTGTTTCAAGTTTGAGGTGTTTAGGACTAGGAAAGTTGATATTCCAGGATTGAGATATTTAGGACTAGGACAGTGGATATTTCAGAATTGAGTTATTTAAAACTGTGATATTGGATATTTCGGGATTGATTTATTTAGGACTGTGATACTGGATATTTCAGGATTGATTTTTTAAGACTGTGATAGTGGATATTTCAGGACTGAGGTATTTGGGACTAAAATAGTGGATTTATCAGGATTTAGATATTTAGGCCTTAGATAGTGGATATTTCAGAATTTATATATGTAGGACTTAACTAGTGGATATTTCAGGATTTAGAAGTTTAATTGATATTAGACTTAGATGTTTAGTGGATAGTGGATATTTCAGGATTTAGAAAGTATATATTTCAGGATTGAATTCTTTAGGACTGGGATGGTGGATATTTCAGGATTGAGGTATTTAGGACTGTGATAGTGGATATTTCAGGATTGAGGTATATAGGACTGGGATGTGGATGTTTCAAGACTGAGGTATTTAGGACTGAACTAGTGGATTTTTCAGGATATAGATATTTAGGCCTTAGATAGTGGATATTTCAGAATTTAGATATGTAGGACTTAACTAGTGGATATTTCAGGATTTAGAAGTTTAATTGATATTAGACTTAGATGTTTAGTGGATAGTGGATATTTCAGGATTGAATTCTTTAGGACTGGGATGGTGGATGTTTCAGGTTTGAGGTTTTTAGGACTAGGATAGTTGATACTCCAGGATTGAGATATTTATGACTGGGACAGTGTAGATTTCAGGATTTAGATATTTAGGACTTAGATAGTGGGTATTTCAGTATTTAGATATTTAGGACTGTGATAGTGGATATTTCAGAATTGAGTTATTTAGGACTGTGATAGTGGATGTTTCAGGTTTGAGGTTTTTAGGACTAGGATAGTTGATATTCCAGGATTGAGATATTTAGGACTGGGACAGTGTAGATTTCAGGATTTAGATATTTAGGACTTAGATAGTGGGTATTTCAGGATTTAGATATTTAGGACTTAGATAGTGGATATTTCAGGATTTAGATATTTAGGACTTAGATAGTGGATATTTCAGAATTTAGATATTTAGGACTTAACTAGTGGACATTTCAGGATTGGGATGTTTAATGGATATTAGACTTAGATTTTTAGTGGATAGTGGATATTTCAGGATTTAGATAGTATATAATTCAGGATTGGATTATTTAGAACTGGGATAGTGGTTGTTTCAAGTTTGAGGTGTTTAGGACTAGGAAAGTTGATATTCCAGGATTGAGATATTTAGGACTAGGACAGTGGATATTTCAGAATTGAGTTATTTAAAACTGTGATATTGGATATTTCGGGATTGATTTATTTAGGACTGTGATACTGGATATTTCAGGATTGATTTTTTTAAGACTGTGATAGTGGATATTTCAGGACTGAGGTATTTGGGACTAAAATAGTGGATTTATCAGGATTTAGATATTTAGGCCTTAGATAGTGGATATTTCAGAATTTAGATATGTAGGACTTAACTAGTGGATATTTCAGGATTTAGAAGTTTAATTGATATTAGACTTAGATGTTTAGTGGATAGTGGATATTTCAGGATTTAGAAAGTATATATTTCAGGATTGAATTCTTTAGGACTGGGATGGTTGATATTTCAGGATTGAGGTATTTAGGACTGTGATAGTGGATATTTCAGGATTGAGGTATTTAGGACTGGGATGTGGATGTTTCAAGACTGAGGTATTTAGGACTGAAATAGTGGATTTTTCAGGACATAGATATTTAGGCCTTAGATAGTGGATATTTCAGAATTTAGATATGTAGGACTTAACTAGTGGATATTTCAGGATTTAGAAGTTTAATTGATATTAGACTTAGATGTTTAGTGGATAGTGGATATTTCAGGATTGAATTCTTTAGGACTGGGATGGTGGATGTTTCAGGTTTGAGGTTTTTAGGACTAACATAGTTGATACTCCAGGATTGAGATATTTATGACTGGGACAGTGTAGATTTCAGGATTTAGATATTTAGGACTTAGATAGTGGGTATTTCAGGATTTAGATATTTAGGACTGTGATAGTGGATATTTCAGAATTGAGTTATTTAGGACTGTGATAGTGGATGTTTCAGGATTGAGGCATTTAGGACTGGGATTTGGATGTTTCAGGACTGAGGTATTTAGGACTGAAATAGTGGTATTTTCAGGATTTAGATATTTAGGCCTTAGATAGTGGATATTTCAGAATTTAGATATGTAGGACTTAACTAGTGGATATTTCAGGATTTAGAAGTTTAATTGATATTAGACTTAGATTTTTAGTGGATAGTGGATATTTCAGGATTTAAAAAGTATATATTTCAGGATTGAATTCTTTAGGACTGGGATGGTGGATGTTTCAGGTTTGAGTTATTTAGGACTAGGATAGTTGATATTCCAGGATTGAGATATTTAGGACTGGGACAGTCGATATTTCAGAATTTAGTTATTTAGGACTTAGATAGTGGGTATTTCAGGATTTAGATATTTGGGACTTAGATAGTGGATATTTCAGGATTTAGATATTTAGGACTTAGATAGTGGATATTTCAGAATTTAGATATTTAGGACTTAACTAGTGGAGATTTCAGGATTTATATGTTTAATGGATATTAGACTTAGATTTTTAGTGGATAGTGGATATTTCAGGATTTAGATAGTATATAACTCAGGATTGAATTATTTAGAACTGGGATAGTGGTTGTTTCAAGTTTGAGGTGTTTAGGACTAGGAAAGTTGATATTCCAGGATTGAGTTATTTAGAACTGTGATAGTGGATATTTCAGGATTGATTTATTTAGGACTGTGATAGTGGATATTTCAGGATTGATTTTTTCTAGGACTGTGATAGTGGATATTTCAGGATTGAGGTATTTAGGACTGTGATAGTGGATATTTCAGAATTGATTTATTTAGGACTGAGATAGTGGATATTTTAGGATTGAGTTATTTAGGACTGGGATGTGGATATTTCAGGATTGAGGTATTTAGGAATGAAATAGTGGATTTTTCAGGATTGCTTTTTTTAGAATTCGGATAGTGGACATTTCAGGATTGAGAAGTTTAGGGATGAGATAGTCGATATTTCAGGATTGAGATGTTTAGTATTGGTATAGTGAATATTTCAGAATTGAGTTATTTAGGACTGTGATAGTGGATATTTCAGGATTGAATTGAGGTATTTAGGACTGAGATAGTGGATATTTCAGGATTGAGGTATTTAGGACTGGGATGTGGATGTTTCAGGACTGAGGTATTTAGTATTGGTATAGTGGATATTTCAGAATTGAGTTATTTAGGACTGTGATAGTGGATATTTCAGGATTGAATTGAGTTATTTAGGACTGTGATAGTCGATATTTCAAGATTGAGTTATTTAGGACTGTGATAGTGGATATTTCAGGATTGAGGTATTTAGGACTGGGATGTGGATGTTTCAGGACTGAGGTATTTAGTATTGGTATAGTGGATATTTCAGAATTGAGTTATTTAGGACTGTGATAGTGGATATTTCAGGATTGAGGTATTTAGGACTGGGATGTGGATGTTTCAGGATTGAGATATTTAGTATTGGTATAGTGGATATTTCAGAATTGAGTTATTTAGGACTGTGATAGTGGATATTTCAGGATTGAGGTATTTAGGACTGGGATGTGGATGTTTCAGGATTGAGATATTTAGTAATGGTATAGTGGATATTTCAGAATTGAGTTATTTAGGACTGTGATAGTCGATATTTCAGGATTGAGTTATTTAGGACTGTGATAGTGGATATTTCAGGATTGAGGTATTTAGGACTGGGATGTGGATGTTTCAGGACTGAGGTATTTAGGACTGAAATAGTAGATTTTTCAGGATTGAGATATTCAGGACTGGGATAGTAGATTTTTCAGGTAAATTTCCCATGAACCCGCTTAAGGGCAACCATGAACCCGCTTATCCGAATCAGATAACACAACCAAAACGTCGACTGGGGCGATCTATCAAAAAGCGATATAGGCAAAAACAAGTCTAAAAACCGCGTAAAAAAGAAAAAAAGTGTTTTAAAAGGATGAATTGACATCTTTGAACACTACATTGCTTCACCATGGAATATATAAATTTTTTGGATTATCGCAAGACTCAATTGAAAACTTTAACCCGGAAGCGTTGAAGTGCACCAAATTACAACTGCTAAAACTCCAAATTGCAGGACAAGCAACGGTTATCTCTGAACCACCGGCTTGTACCACCGGCGAGGTTATTCGTTTGTCATCTATGTATATGGAAAAAAATTGATTTTTTGCTGGTTGAATTGTAATATAAACTCACTAAGAACTGGTGGCATTGAAAAAATATTTACGACTAATTAAAGTTTATGTAAAATTTATGAATTTTATTAAAAATTGATCATATGGTTATCGAAAAAACTACCATGAGGCTTTAAGTTAACTAAATTGGTTTTTCCTTGGCTTAATTTTTGTGCAGCTGCAACCAATATTTTTTCCTTGATTAAATTTGCCAACAAAACTCTGAAACAATTTAGAGCAGCCCAGAAAAGCTCAGCTGACAATATTTAGACTTCTCATCAATAAAAAAAGGTAAATAACCTTTGGCTCTTTTTTGTAATTTTTTGGACATGCATTTTTCCCGGAAGCGTTTTTTTTTCAGGTTTGCAGATTTTTAGGTTTTCATTTTTCCAGTTTTTCTTTGGCGTGTTTGAAAATGAGGAAACCGTCAGAAATCAAAATCGAAGATCAATTATTATTCCCGGAAGCTCCGGTAAAGCACCGCCGCACGTTTATCCGTTTATTGCGTACCGCATCTGCTAAACCAAAGCAAAATATCGTAAAAAGTAAGCAGCGTAACATTTGGTATCACAAATATCACGAGAACCATAACAAAAACCATGTTTTATTGTTAATTCTCGTTTTGTATATTTGTTAAATTAATATATTCCTAAACTGAATAATTTATTCTCTAAGTTTTTCCTAAAATAACTTTTCCGAAATAAACATTAGTTGACAATGCGTTTAATGGTTTCGTTTGTTTGCAACGTCTTAACTATGAGCAGGCTACTGAAAGCAGCCTCAAAACGATTAATAATTTAAAATATTTAAGGGATCAAGAAATTTGTTAAGATCAACATCCTCTAGCTTTGTTTTCTATTTATTAAAGCAGAATGCCTATCAAAGTATCCCACACAAAACCAAGGTATGCCTAAAGTTTCTTTGATAAAATTTAGAGACCATTTGTTTATTTCCGCTATCCGCTGCCAAGATAACCTTTTAACTGAAACAAACTTACTCTGATTACTGTTGATAATTACTGTTCTTAAAAAACGCGTTTTTCTTATTGTTTTTCTTATTTTGCCGTATACCCAAAATAAAGTCAGCAAAAAAACGGCAAATTGTTTATATTTTTCTCGGAAAAATATCTTAACTGCTTGCACCTCTAATTCCTTGTCAGAGAAAGTCGTTTTTGATCAATTAAACACTTTCGAGAAAGTAAGCGGGTGCACTTAAACTTAAAGCTACCCAAAAAAAAATCTTTTTTCCTTTCTTTTTTTACACTTTAGTGCACAGTTTTTTTCAGCACTCGATCGGCCGAGAGAGAAGTCGACGAAATCATCAGACGCTTGGAATATTCCCGAAACAGCGGAACTCTCAAAGACAGTGAGAACATCTCATTACGTAACTCATCATTACGTAACACACGGCAAACGTCAAAAGGTCTAACACCCTTCGACTTTTCTACACAAGTGGGCAGTAGAAGGAGGTCAAGGTCAAACGAAAGAGACATAATGACCTCTACTGGAGTTGGATCGGAAGTTCCGCCTCTTGGAAGAACGATGGCCATGCATAAACCAGTTCCGACATTCGAAGATTCAGTCTATCAGTAAAAATATGCTCACAAAAATTGCTTATAGGAAAAAGGAACAAATAATGAAGTTTTCGAAAAAAAATTGAGTATGTTGTGATGCCTTTGATGGCTTCTTCACGCTGGTAATATTGCCAATTTTGCCCCAAAAATATTAGCTAAAAATTTTAGCTTTTTAAACGAAATTATATATTTTCTGTATTTAAATTATTTAATAATCTAATAATCTTCATTTAAAAAGCACAGTGTATTTTTCAGTAACGATTTCAAGAACATCGATGCTCAAGTTCTCAAAGACATCGCACTTAAGAACTCCAGATACATGTCAAACTACGGTGGATGTTTCAACGTCACCGACCGTCGAAATCACCCGGGAGGTGGTCTCGTCAAAAACGTGACGAACGTTCACGGGAAACAAACGAGTTACATCACGACTTACCCGCCGGCGCCTGTACCTCGTGAACGAATCCGAGAAGAACTCGTTCGCTACTCGGCTCCAACGTTCACCAGTGACGTTCTAGGTCAACAGGGGGCGACTTTCATGCAGCCTGGCGAGTCAAGTTACATGACTCAGTTTCGAAATTACTCCCAAATCAAAAACTTGGACAGAGCCAAGCCCCTGTCGATTAACAAGTCAATGACTAGAAACTGCCCCGCGCCGGGTGGAACGTGTAATATATTGACTCACGACGGACAGGTGATGAGAATATTCGAGAACAAATCGCAGTCGGCTCCGTCGCACCCGTTTGACACGGTTAGTAGAATCCGTTTCATGGACTGTTTTAATATAATTTTCAGCGATCTTGTTGATTTTCAATTTTTGCGGATTTTTTTGTTTGCAGATTTAGGCTCGGCATTAACCACAATTCAGTCTCTAGGATATTAAAATAGTCAGTACTTTTTTAACTAACCAAAAGTCTACGCAGACCATCAGTTTTTGTTAATAAGCAACTTATTCCTACGTCTCACAATCAAAAGGAGGGGGCTGTTCATGTTTTTGGTTGAAAATACTGAAGGATCCAAAGCACAAAAACATAAACAAAAGCTGCATGCAGCTATAAAGAATGAGTTCATCGTCATAATTAGCTGAAGAGCAGGCAGACATTTGTTTACTGAAAAAAGTCATCTCCGTGTGAAAAACTCTGTTTTTTTTTCGCAGAGAAAATCAAATCTGGACGTACGTTGGTCTGTTCTGAACAACAGCAAAGAGGATGTGTCATCCGTGTCCAGGAAGGAAATCGAGAGATTGAACGAACTATGGCCAGTCAACAAGGTAGTATGCAAATAGTGTTTTTGGTTTATTGAGTTTTTGGTGTACCTGCACAAGTATTTCTTCAATCGTTCGTACTTCGAAGTTAGGTTTAGGGAAAGAGCCGAAAGAAAAAGGATGAATCTAAAAGTGAACAAGTAGCACAGAATGTTCCGACCTTATTCATTAGGACTACGAAGGAAAGTTCTTCAAATTAGCGTCATTTTAGGCAGTAAATTAGGCATAATGGACAACAGTTGTTTTCAAAATAAAATTGACAAACAAAAAAAACAACAAAAAAACTAACTTTTTATTCTGTTTTCTCTGTAGAATTTTTTGTAACTATTTTTTAAATTTTCTTACCAGGAAAGTGCCAAATATAGCTTTCAAATTTAATTACCGTTTGGAAAAGTCAAGCCCAGTCCAATGATTATTTGTGGTACCTGATTTTGCGTGGAAAAAATTACAACGTAGCAAATTACAAAGGTAAGGTTCCTAAAACCTGTTGCGTTGATCATTTGTCTGATAACAGATTTGGTATGACAGTGATCGAGGGAAGTCCAAAAAACGGTCAACAAATCAGATAATTGTCTTTTCCGAGATTCATAGCTTTTTTGCCGAAATTTGCGCGTAGCCGCTTATGCAGAGAGATTTATACAATTTGTAGTTTCAATTGAACCCAAGAACCCAGGTTTGGCAAGGTAGTTCTTGAAAAAAATCAAAATGTTTCAAAAACAATAAAAAACAAAACAAAAAAAAACTTTTTCAAGGGCCATAAGTGTTTGTTCCAAAAAAAAGTGTACGTAGTCGCATATGCAAAACGAAGTTTTTCACAAACCGTTCTTTGGATTGAACTCAACATCTCAGATGTGGGGTAGTATTACAAATTATATTTAAAAAAATTAACGAATTGACGTTTCTGGGGATCATAACTTGTTGTGTAGAAAAGTGTGAGTAGCCGCTAATGCAGTGGAGCTTCCAACTACCCGTTATCTCCATACTTGTGAACCCACAACATCAGGAAAAAACGCTAAAAATGCTCAAAAAAGTGACTATTCCGAGGGCCATAAATTTATCTGTAAAAAAATTTAGCCGCATATGGAGGGGAGCTTTCCAAATCCGCTGTATTCCTTGAAACAAAATTTTCAGATTGGGTCGGTCGGTTTTTGAGAAAAAAAAACAAATCAAAAATATCGGTCAAATAGTCCCACGACAAGGGTGATGGCGGTCTTCTTTTTTGAAAATCGGTAAAAGCCCTTTTGAGAAATTTGTTTTTTTTTGCAAAAGTGATAAGATTTTCCAAAGCGTGTACAAAAACAAAGAATAAGCCAATCCTGAATATTTTTTATATCTATTTTTATGGAACAAAATATCTAGGCAAAATACCAAGCAAGACACTGAAATTCAATTTAGAAACTGAAAAATTTTAAAAAGCGGAAACACGGTCGACAATCTTTTAGCAGTCACCAGTTCGAGAAGAAGCGTGTCGAAAAAATATGTATTATTTGAGGTCACAAAATATATATTTCACCAGCGGTAATTTGGCGAAAAAACTAAGATTTGAAAACTGTTTGTTTGACCAATTTGGGATAAAAAACAGCACAATTTCATTAGTTATATAGCGCATCGGTAGCAATTTAAGCCATTTTAAAAACCGTTCTAAACTAAACTGAGGCAAGCTGTTTTGCTTAAATGATCCGTTATCAGAACCGAAACGTATCATTTTGTACTTTAATGAGCGTTAAACATTCTAGGTTTCCCCGATATGAGTTGTCTTGTTGACTGAATGTTTGAACTGCAGTTATTTTTTAAAATTGGTTGTGACAGCTTCTTCTAATACGTGATGTTTATCTAAACTTAAGTAAGCTTGCATTTAAATGTTTTGTATAATGATGTTGCTAGTGATTCGACCATGTTTCTTTAAAAAATCGTTCCAAAATTTGCTAAAAACACTCTGTAACTACCACCTTGTATTTCGTAATGCCGTCAACGTTTCAAAATTTTTTGTCAAAGCGCAGCCACATTGATACAAAACTTCAGAAAATGAATTGAACTAGGTACTATATTTTGCTAATACCACAATTTGCTGATTAAATTATTTGAAATTTAGTTGGTTATAGTAGTTGAAAAAAAATCTAAAAATGAGGAGACAAAAATTATGACAAAAAATAGGTGTCAAGTACCCCAAAATATCATCGGAACGGATCAAATATTGCGTTTTAATGACACCCTTACAGTTGTAATTTGAAGGACAATTCAGTGTTGAGAAAATTTTGTTCAAATTTTTTTTATGTGAGTTCAAGTCCGGGTGGCTCACTCGTAGAGTAGTTTCAGACAAGGTACACCGTCTGTTCGCCACGCTGTCTTATATTTGGCCGGAAAGATTCATGCCACTTTTTGGTCTAATGCCAATCTTAATTTTACTCTTACATCACCTAGTCTCAATAGATTTGGTGTATACTGGCATTTGCGAGACTTGATATCAAGAAATGTTCTGAGGAAGAGCAACTGTGTGCTAAGTTAAATTCATTCTGTTCTGGCTGAAACTATAAATATTTTCAACCTTCTTGTAAATGCTAATTATTTTTTTGTAAGTGCTAATGGATCACGATTGGCTAGATATAAGTGTTTTCTGGAGATGGTTTATCAAGAATTTAATAGGATAAAATAAATACTTGTTTTGAACTGGTTCAACCCATCCGGGGCTTAGAGAGTTTTTTTTCAAGTTTTAATTTTGTTCTTGTGGAGGATGGATGAAGAAGTTTCTTGATTTTTTGGAGTAGATTCTTTCGAAGTTTCTTGATTCTTTCGAAGCAGTGAAGGAAAAGAATGAAACAGTTGCTCGTAGTTGTGGACTAGTTGTCTTCATAGAGTGAGAAGAAGTACAGTTGCTCGTAATCCAGAAATGGATTTCGTGTATCGTGATTAAGTTGAGGAATTATGTCAAGGTTGAAGATTTATACAGTGATGTGTCGATTTCGTTAAGTAGAGTGAGACTACGTGGATTGTCAACTATTCAGCGAATATTGAGATGGTGTTTAATTTCTCTGTGTGAGGAGCCAAGTGTGTAAGAGTCGTATTGAGTTGAACATCGAGTTGGCCATTGTTCTTGTTTAATGGATAATTTTGCTGCGATGTTGCTTCCATAATTTAAATCCTGTTGTGACTACGGCAACAAACCAATAAAATTGCTAATCCAGAGTCGGAATGTCATCAGGCTTCATCTCCTTTTGTTGCTCGTTCCTTTTTATCTAATAAAATGTTTTACTTTATAGATTTATATCTGCAAATTGTTAGTGGAATCAGTTGTAGTTGTGATTGTTTTAATTTTTTTGCGAAAGCGTCTTATCAGTTTCGGTAATTTTCAAGAGTGGCTCACCCTATAGCTACTATCGTCAAAAACAAGGAGCGTGTCGTAGGCGTGGTGTTTAGCGTGGTGAAGGAGACCAGCTATAGAGAAAGCTGAAGACTTCCTTTACTGGTGGATTAGGCCAGTTGTGGAAGTATATTTTTACCGTCTCTTTGACTAGAGTCTTTTTTTTTGTGTTCAACCTTATGTTCTTTTTTATCAGGTGTTTTTCTCGTTTGTTTTGGTAGTTGTGTCTTTTTTTCAAAAACAGATAATTGTAGTTTGCGTGGTTCTCTTGGTGTTTTTGCGAAAAGAATAGTTTATCCAGTTTTAATCTGGTTTTAATCTGGTTTGGGTAACATGAGAATTTCTCATACATGCGGTTGGTTTTGTCGTTTTAGTAAGCTGTGTTGGTTAAGTTAAGCTTAGTTATGATTCCTTCCAACCCGGGTTAAAGGATTTTTGAAAACGCATGAAAGTAAGGTAAAAATTATTATCAGTTAGTTTAGTTTGTAAAACTAAAAACTCATTTGCCAAACAATTCTACGTTGGCGAGATACTCATTTTGGGTAGAAAAGTTTAGTGAAAAGTGAGCAAATGAAAAAAATCAAAATTTGTAAATACGAGCAGACAAAAAGGTAATTATCTTTAATTTTTTGTGCATTATCATTTTACTACTTCGCATTGTGAACTTACAACATTGTTATTATTTTAATGCTAGGTGTTTAATTAACTTCGCTTATATAATTTATGGCATATTGTTAGAAAGTTAAATTGAAAGTTAAAATAGAGTTTGAAATTTATTTTTATCTTTAAATTATTCTTTTAGAGGAATGACTGGTAAAATCTAACAAGAAAAGGTGAAACACACATGTGAAAATGGTGAATGTTTTATTTATTAGTATCAAAATTATTATAAGTTCATACTTACGAGGGTTCCAGTTCCGAGAAAAAATCCAGGGGTGGGGAGTTAGTTTTGAAAATGAATGAGGTTATTAAAACCTTAGCAAGCATGCGGATTACGTCTTTAGTGCGCAAAAATGGGCCGAAAAAGTTCCAGTGCGCGAAAGGTATTGACTTCTTTGGTGACATCGAGGTGAAAGATGTATTCAGATTTTATGAAAAACTTCTTGGGTAGTTGTGCATTCACATTAGGGTCAATTTCGTATGGTGAGTCCTCCATATATTGGACATCTGTATGATCGTAGTGATTATAAGAATATCGGTTAGCTTTCGGTGCAATGAATCGGTTAAAGGATTGATTTAGGCCAATGTAAGCCTATGTTTCATTAAGGTGGAGTGCGATGTTTAACTGGTTAATAATGAAAACACAAAGCTCTTAATTAGGGTAGTTTTAAAGTTTTTCAAAAAACTATAAGATGAGATCAACAAAAAGGTTGGTAGCAGGGAATCTGCATCAACATATTAGGCTCCTTGGGCTCCTTGTGCTGGACTTTCTCCGTTTTAATAGGTGTTATGGGGGAAAGGTAAAATTTTCTACTAAAAATGCGGGCGAATTAGTATGGCGTGGATGATGGTGTAGGAGTTGGGATGATGAAGGGTAGTTATTTACAAATAGTGGTTTTCTTTTGGGATGTTTTCGTTTCATAGAAAGTCTTCGTGCAAGTGTTCAGGCAATATCGACAGAGGGGATGGCTGATTCGGAGATTGAGGC